CATACATACATACATACATACATACATACATACATACATACATACATACATACATGCATACATATATACAGACAGACAGATAAACAGACATGTAGAAAAACTGGTTTTTCAATAATTCTTTAAGAAATTCATGTTGAAGTGGCTTTCATTTCGTTTGAGGAGGCGAGTAGAGGGGATTCGTAAGTTGACCTCCCTGGAGGCTGTAGGGGCATTGCCGTGGAACTGGGAGGACCTATTTGCAGAAATCTTCAATCCCAGCTCCATGGCCATCCCTCTACAGGTTCCGGTGAGGCCAATTTACGAATCCCTTCCAGTCGCCTATGCAAACGAATTGAAGGGTACCCCAACAAGACAAACAGAGAGACGGACAGAAAGCCATGAAGAATTACGCCTTAGTAATACATTATGGCATAGCTTTTCAGTTTGAAGGAAGGAAGCCATTTGTGAAATGGTCTAACCGGAAATTGTAGGAGGATTGCTGCGGAGTGAAGACTTTTGGATTGTGTCCAAAAGTCCACAGCTCATCGTCCTGCGACTCCGATGGACTTGTGCTAAGCTTTCGCCCATACCGACGTGACAAGCATCATCAGAGCAAGAATTCATACTTTACGAAATCAAAGGAAAAGGTGGTCAGCTGAAACTCATTAGGATCGCAAGGAAATGTAAGGTATGGATTCTTGCTCTGAGGATGTGTCAAGGCGGTACAGACAAAAGGTTAGCACATGTCGGTGAGGCGAGGACTTCTTCGCACAATCCAGCAGCTTTCACTCCGTCGCAACCATTTCACTAATTCCTTCCAACCTACTTTTATTTTGAATTCGGATGTCATATCAACCTGGACAGATAGACAGACACACGAATAGGTGGACACGTAAGAATAGATACAGTAATGCCTGATTTTGAAAAAGTCGTTGGCTGGAAGGGATTCGTGAATTGACCCTACCGGAGACTGAGGCAATTGAGAACGTGGAACAGTGGGCTGAGGTATTTTTTAGCACAATCCCGTAGTCACGGATTCTGGGCAAGTCCTCCTTCGGTGTCTGGTGAAGGTAATTTAGAACTACTCATTTCCAGCTGCATTTTGGAAGGTAATCAAGCGAAAAGAGATTCTTCCTAATCCAGTATCTCTTTAAGTAAATCCACTTGTTCCATTTCTTAGAGAGAAGGATTAAGTGGGGCTCTTGGGGGCATCAGTATTGCCATTCTTGTGAATTTTAAGGGTTTGTTGGTGTATTTGCCTCAATTGAATGATGACCAAAACGGCAACTATTCCAGCCACCCTCCCTCTTGCGAGGAGGTGCTTAGTTTGGCCGGACGAGCCGAAGCTTACTCCCACGACTGACTTTTGGGCATCTGAAACGGACTGAACGAACAAGTCGCCGATACCACTTTCCAATCCAGTCAGAGGGTTTTTCATCTTACTAATTCCCACATTCTCGAGGCCTGGAACTGAAGCCACATGACGGATAAGACATTCACATTTTCCCTTTTAAGAAAAAGCTGGTTGTCAGAGCTTCGCGGTTTGGCCTCATCAGAGACCGAAGGAGAAGGATTGCTTTGACGTAAAGACTGTTCGATTGTACGATCCGGATGAATCTGTATTAGACCAAGCGAAAAGGTTACTGTTTGTAAATATACTCAATTCCTATATTTACTTTTTGTCGCAAGCTCAACGATTTCATTGGCCACTTAAAGTTTATCCCACGTATTTGCAGATGGGTCAAGTTAATTACTGAAAAGAAGGCGGATTCGGTCGCGGCTGCCTCCCTATTTCGTTAAACTAATGCATAAAAGTGATTTGCCTTCGCTTTCACAACTTGATCCTGTTGTCAGGGCGACATCAAAGAGCACACCTTGTCCGAAATCTTCTGTCAAGCCTAATCATTATTCCAACTTGTCTCGGACTGCGGACTTGGTGTATTCCCAGACAAGTTGTCAAAGGCAAGTGAAGTCCTGGCAAAACGACCTAGCTGCAAAAACTAGGAAAAGCCATTTCTATGCAACCAAGGTATACTGCGACCAAAATAGGGGCCACAATATCTACGAGTAAACAAATTATTTTAATCAAAGGTATGAAGACCAAGATGGTGTAGCCTGTTGTGTGGTCGCAGTCTCCTTTCGTTGTAAAGAAGTGGTTTGACCTTGTTTTCGCAACTTGGTCATGTTGTTAGGACGACTTAGAAGAACGCACCTGGTCCGGAGTCAATTGTGGGCATAATCGTTTACAAAGTCCGTGGACGTGGACGTGGTACATTCCCAGACGTCGTCAGTGAGTCTCGTCATTCTTAGCACCACACAACAACTCGTCAAAGAGACAAGTGAAGCCGATCCTTTGCCAAAACGTGTGCTAAACAGTTGTGATATCTCCACTTCTGCCCTGGGCTAGTCACATTTCCTATATCCTCCTATCACACCTTCCCTGTTACAATTTTTACCGTACCTATTTCGATGTAGTGTGGTGTGCATTCATAAAAAACCTTCACACTCCACGCTGTCGTTCTCACCCCTTATGCTGGGAATGTCGATCAAAGTCTGCCATATTGTTACGCCGTCCTCCTTCCCTAGGTC